AACATGATTATTTGAGTGAAGATTCTCTAACGGAGCAGTGCTTAGCTGTGTACAGACAGGATTGGTCTCAGGTTCGTATCTTTTTGTTTATTATTTGATTATGTTTTGCGTTCGATTCCCGGGAAGATTCTTGGTAGTGAAATTCTGAGTATAACATATTAGTTGTTTTGTTTTGAAATTCTCTACATATAGTTCACATTCTGCGCATATTTTTTTTTTTTGATTTATTGTTTGTCAAGTGCTCTGATGTCTGTCAAGCATGAGGTGTTGGGTTCGATTCCCGGACCGGGAAAAATACTATTTGATTATTGTCAGTTTTTGGGAAATCCTCAACAGCTCTAATAGTATATTCTAATTAACAAATTGCCTAATATATTCGATTTTTATTAATCACCACTTGACTTAATATTACTTTCTTTCTCCCACAGAGCGTCCTAGAAAGTCTATCGACGTGTATGAAGTCTGTATCAGCGCGGTGGTCGCGATCATCTACCGGCAAGTTCACACTATTTCTAGATTTCCTAGCCGAATACTGCGGGGATATGGATTATGATCCGTCCGATCCAATAGAGGGATAAATCGTTAATCACCATGTTTGTAAATTATTATTTTTAATCACCACTTTGAGTTTTTCAAGAGTTAATTGCCAAGTTTGATTGTCTATTGAATATAACGGGGAAGTAATAGCTGTTTAACGTTAGTGTTAATCACCAATTGATTATAAATTATTTATGAATTAACTTATTATGTGGTGATTTATAAAAGTTGTATTGGAAATAAAGGCTGTGATTGTGATCATAGGGTTTGTAGACAGAAATAATATTCTTTGGGAGTGTTAAACGTGAAGGTATATCGTTAATTTTAATACAGGCAAGTACGGTGGCCAGTATATCAGCTTCGATGTTGGACTTTATGTCAATACAATAAAGTTGACTGCCTCGTTGGCCGAGTGGTCGCAATTACGACTGCCGGGCAAGGGGTCTCGGGTTCGATTCCCGGGTCGGGCAAAGTATTACTGGGTTTTAAAAAAAATTTCAGTAGTAGCACGGAGTCTGGAACTGTGCCCGGTATATGGCAATAGGCTCACCCCCTATTACATGGGACTCATAACATAAATAGAGAAAAGTGGGTGTTATATTGTACAGTGGTATAATGTGCACCTCTACCTACCCCTTCGAGGATATAAGGCGTGATGTTATGTAATAAAGTTGAAGATGTAAAACAGACATTTGACAGAAAAGAAAAGGTTGACCTGCTGCCCACCGTATACAATGAAAGGAAACAAATAATTTAACAATCCTTACCACAAGTAAAGAATCAATTTTCACATGGTGATTAAATGAAAAAGTATATACAAAAACGAGGATTAACAAAAATAATAATTTAAAATGGTTTAAATTGATCGGGAGAATATAGAGAGAATGTGACTAAAAATCGCGGGTTACTCACTTGAATATACTGAGAAAAGCTCTACTAGTTAGACCACAGAGGGGTTCTTCCTCATGAGCAGCGTGCGCGGTCGCGGCGACGACGTCGCGAAACTAGTAGACCTTTTCTCAGTATATACACGTGAGTAACCCGCGATTTTTCGTTAATTTAGTATGTCTCACGATAGTTATTATAAAAACAATTGAAAATGGTTTAAATTATTCGTGAGAATAAAGAAAGAATGTATCTATATTAGAACATACCAACTAGGTAGTCTAGTTCGGAATCGTAATTGCTAGCCTTCGAAAAAAACACCAAATTCTATAATTGTCAATGTACTTGGTTATTTACCACTTTGCCAGTAAAAAGCACTGATATAGTCTTCCTAGCTCAAAACAACGTATAGTTGTTTATTTGCGTTAATCACCGCACCTGGCAGAGTGGTGAGTATCAACCAAATGTGGTGATAGTGGTGATTTAGAATCCATGACAAATAATTTTAATGTTATTGTATATTGTAGTTGTATGTATGTAGATTTTTTTTGGAAAATAGGTATGGTGATCTTTTTGGATAATCACCAATTTAGCAGATATAAAGTCATCATCCCTATTATAAATTTGGTTAAGAAATATAACTATCTCGGGTAACAGATGATTATATTTTTAACTAAAACTAAGCTATATGTATTTATATCCAGTCAAAGAAAATTGTATTACTACTAATCGCCAATCTTTTTTAAAAACTAGCTAATTGCTGGAGGCTCGTCTATTTTCGAGCTATACCAAAACTTACTATCATAAACTGCGTGCGCGATCATTGATACTAAGAAAACACAATGCCTTAATGGCATTGTTTTTTTAGCATTCGATTATTTTCGCTTGCTACTGGGATGCCGTCTCCTCCTTTTGCGAAGCAGTTATGCTAGCTAAGGAGGAGGCGGGACGCGTGAGGCAACGAAGCGCTGCCTCCTCGCGACCCAGCCATCGCCAAGGACACACCGGGCGTCGGGGATCGCGGGACGATCTCCGGCCACCGTAAGCGCGGGCCTGCGGACGGCGAGCATGGGCGACCAGAACCAGACCCGAGCGTTCCGCACGCGCCCCAAAGAGCCATCAGACCACCACGGATGGGGCCCAATAGGGCCGCGGAAGGCTTACCGGGTTGCCGGGGCTTCTGCTCGAAGAGCGGAGTAGGAACGGGATGGTTTTTAGTCGGTAAGGGTCTGACACTCCCTCCCGCCTCACCCAGGCCGGAGCAGTCATTCGACGATTTTCCCCGCTTAAAAAAAGCGTAGAGGTAATAGCAAACCGCCTCTAATGTAGGAGGCTCCCGCTGCTGGTGATAATTTGTGGCATTAGTCAGTAATACAATCTTTTTCTATGTTTCCAATTCTTCTATACACATAAAAAGAACACCATTTTTGAAGTAGTCGATTATATAAGCTATGTAGTTGCCTTATATGTGTAGATTAATCCCACGCCCAGTGCTGGACTTAGAAATTCGTTAGGTATACTTAGATAGCGACTTTAGGCATCCCTTATTACATGGGTCTCTTGCTATAATACATTTTTGATTCAGATTAGGAAAATTTTTGTCCGATAAATAATCGAAATCTACATCGAGTTGAAAATCGACTAAATCGTTTTCGATATTTACGATAATCGACTAAGACAGTTAGGTACGATAACTTGTCAATTTGAATTTGACAATTAATGCTCAATTCTTTTGAATAGCATCTTTAAAGTGTAGAGAATATACCTAGAGTCTACATTTGAAATTACTCCTAGCTAGATACATGATCAATATTTCTTTGTTTTAACTTTATCTACCTTTTTTGTGAGACTACGGGAATATCTTTGGTATTACGTCTCACGTATGATTCCAGGAATTGATACTACTGCAAGGAATTTTATTCAAATTCTAGATTACCAAGAAATAAAGACTTAATTAATGATTTAAGATTTGTCTCACTCAATGCCCCAAATCGCAATCCTAGAATTTATTGTAAATTACTGCCAAATTGTGTATAGTTGTAAATAATTAAAAAAATAAGTACAATAATATTAAAAAAGAAATTATCCAATATGCTAACGAGTGTGCAAGTAAACAAGCTCATGTAGTGTAGATGTAACTCACAACAGCAAGAGGTTGACTGTCCAGGCGACACACGTACTTAGGTATCGTCATGAGCTAATGTTCACAAGTAAACAGCAGCTCATGTAGTGTAGATGTCCAGTCAACAAGGATGTAGCGAGGTTGACTGTCCAGGCGACACACGTACTTAGGTATCGTCATGAGCTAATGTTCACATGTAAACAGCAGCTCATGTAGTGTAGATGTCCAGTCAACAAGGATGTAGCGAGGTTGACTGTCCAGGCGACACACGTACTTAGGTATTGTCATGAGCTAATGTTCACATGTAAACAGCAGCTCATGTAGTGTAGATGTCCAGTCAACAAGGATGTAGCGAGGTTAAACAGACAAACATCACATTTTTGCACACTCTGACATGCCTTTTATGATTATTAGTTAAAGTAAATATATGAAATACGCTATTAATGTATAGAAAATAAATATGCGGCTAAAATTTGTATTGAATTGTTACGTTGCATTTACAAAAACATAAAATTACGAAGATTTTAAAGATGTTTTGTTTAGTGTTATTATAATAAAATTGTTTCTCAGTTTAAATGTGTAACTGAATTAAATTTTAAGTATATTTATTACATTTCTCGAATAAATACGAATTTTATTACTTGTATATGTTTTTTCTCATTGATCTGTTTGAAAAATCGACTAAGTTTAAATAGTAGATTTTAGATTTCGTTGTGTGATGTTATTTGTAAATATTATTACGTTGTAATTAGTTTATACTGTTAGTTAAACGTTGTAACTGTGAAACAAAGTCCGAAGCAGAATTAATGTACATCGCTTTTGCGTGTAGTTATAATAAAACAAATTTTAAACAAATTTTGGTTTTATTTGCACCCTGAAGATAAAAAAAACACAAACCTGACCATTAAAAAGTGATTTCAATTGATAACACCATGGGCATATTCGGCAACATCCTCTCCTGAATAAGAAAATAAAAATAATGGTACATGTGCATGCATGGTATGTACATGGTACACAACAACATGATCGTTCGTAGTGGCTTTTAAAGAGAGAATTTCGAAAACCTTTAGCTAAAACTCCCTCGCACATGTCATGGTGCCATAATTTGGCAATAACAATAAGCATATACTAGCAGTACGATAATGTTCAAACAATAACATATTAATTACTCTATAATGTTATTACCTACGTGTTTTGAACATCATAACAATACGACTAAGCTTCCAATTTTCAAGTTATCATAGATTTAGTCGATTATTTAACTCGACTAATTACCAAATCGACTACATCACTAGACCAGTGACATTGACAAATGAACAATGATTTTGACATCCCTTTGCTTTGTAATTTTGTTGTCATTGTCAAATCAGAAAATACCAAAGTAGTTATTTGAAAAACACAAATTATTAATTTATTTCTAAACAAATATTACAAAATATATTAAAAACGGACACTTATGTCTGAAATATGGAATCTAAGTACTTTATGCCGCTGTTGTCACGCCGATGGTCACTTCAAAAGCCTAAATTTAACTTACCAAGGTAAAGAAAATGTTGAAATATATGAGAATATGCTAAAAGACACCTTGGGGATTACTGTAAGTATTATTAATATCTTTTGAACAACATAAATTATACATAAAGAGCTTTACAAGTACTGCGAAATTTAATCTTGAGTCAATTTTTCATAGTTTTATTCAGGGTCTGAATTATATCCTTAAATTTAATATTTCATGTGAATATAATACTTATTTATGCATGAAATCAAAGGTCGAGTTACGTTTTATATGATATTAGAAAGCAGTTACGTTGTTGTAGTTGGTTAGATGGGATTTTTAATGAAATAAAGATATGATAACATTTAAACTCTTTAATCTCCGGCACTACTGGTCTGAATTGAATAATTATTTTTGTGTTGGATAATTTTTTTTAAGGATTATAGATAGGGTATAAAATATAGAGCTACGATCAATAGGAGCTGAGCTGAGTGAAACTGCACCGGATATACAGGGTGCAAAAGAAACTCCGGGAATACTGACAAAAATAAATAGTTTTTACAATTTTAATCACTTTGTTTTCGTGTTATTCATGCAACATCAACCTTGAGCAGTTCATTACAACTATGATTACATAAAATAAACATTTAATTCCTTACTTTTATGAAAATAAAACTTGTTTCATACCATCACCTGTCGGTATTCTTCGGAAGCATTCCATTTACACCATGTAATATGATGATCAGGTCTGATATATCAATGAATAGGTGAAAAATTGTTATCACATTGTATCTCTGCTTATCCGTCCTAGGATTAAAACATGTAACATGTGTTAGGTATATTATCTTACTTCTTACTATAATAATTATAAATTATAGTAAGAAGTTAGTTTGTTGAGTGTGAATATGTTCTTTACTTAACCCCGTCAAAACGACTGAAAAGATCGGTATGAAACTTGGAACAGGTGTAGTTATGGTCTGGAGATTACGAGAATGCAGACAAAGCTGCGAGCAGAAGCTAGTGTGGTTACAAAAAGTCTTGATAATTTCAGATATTTAGACCACAGTTAGAAGCGAGTTACACTATCTGTGAGGATTGTATCGTGAAAGTAAGAGATGCGACGGACTTCAAAACACAAGTGCTTACGTGTGAACAGAAATTCAAGGAATATTGTGAAAGTAAGACTTTACTTTTATTCAATCTTGTTTTTTTATTTATTAACCCGTCGAGCGTCCGCTTTCATTATGATCCAACGGGTGTACACGTGACATCTGGAGATAGAAAGAAAGAAAATTGCCATTGGCACACGAAAACAAGAATCATTGCAATAGAAATAAAAAATACAGTCTAAATAAAAACAACATAATAATAATAGATTTTATAAAAGAGAAAGCAGCATGGAGCATTTTTTCTTATGATCCACCGGCTGCTCATAAGGACGCTCGAGGGGTTAATATCTACTTCTTGCTGTTTCTCCAGCTATACTCGGCGCGTATTGACCATAGCTTGGTATTTTATAGCCTGTTGCCTTTCGCAATAAACGGACTGTCCAATGCAACAAGAATTATTCAAATCGGATCAGTAGTTTCTGAGATAAGCGCATTCAAACAAACACATAAAGAAACTCTTCAGCTTTATACATACTGTGGAATGATCTGGCTGCCTCGTTGGCCGAGTGGTCGCAATTGCGACTGCCGGGCAAGGGGTCTCGGGTTCGATTCCCGGGTCGGGCAAAGTATTACTGGGTTTTTTAAATATTCTCAGTAGCAGCACGGAGTCTGGAATTGTGCCCGGTATATGGCAATAGGATCACCCCCTATTACATGGGACTCATAACATAAATAGTGAAAAGTGGGTGTTACATTGTACAGTAGTATGATGTGCACCTCTGCCTACCCCTTCGGGGATAAAAGGCGTGATGTTATGTTATGTTATGGAATGATCTGTCGCCGGCGGTATTTCCGAACCGATACGACCTTCAAACCTTCAAGAAAAGAGCGTATTCCTTTTTAAAAGGCCGGCAACGCACCTGTGTATCCTCTGGTGTTGCGGGTGTTCATAGGCGGCGCTGGTCGCTTACCATCCAGGTGATCTGCTCGTTTGCCTCCTATTCCATAAAAAAAGTCATAATTTTTTTCAGATGAGCAATTCTTTTCGCACCCAGATGTGAAGGTAGAGGATGAGACGGACACTAGTAGTTGCCATAGCAACAATGACGATAATCATTGTAAGTATCACATCATCAATAGCGGGTGACAGTCCACTGCTGAACTATGAGCATCATCTACATACTGAATACATACTGGCTGAGTGCTCGTAAGTGCGACTGCCGGGCAAGGGGGTCTCGGGTTCGATTCCCGTGTCAGGCAAAGTGTTACTGGGTTTTTTAAAAAAAATTCTCAGTAGTAGCACGTCTGGAATAGGGTAGATGACTAATTTTTATTTTAATGTCCGTCTGGTAGATTATTTAAAAACATTAGACACGTATTTTTTATTTTTTTTACAGAAACGAATACTTTCGACGATATATTGATTTGAAATGTCGCGTGACGTCACTTCTATGTACATTTTATACGTAGAAATAACGTTTTAGCTTCCACTCCTAAACTTTGATTCGTTATATCTAAGTATCATTTTATTGTACGACAAAATATAAAAATACGTGTCTAATATTTTTTCATTATCTAACTTACGGACTAATTAGATTTTTAAGTTTCATACCCTGTCATCATCCCAATTAACAAATTACTGTACCAGGAGTTGAAATTTCTTTTTTCTTTTAATTTTAGTTGATGATGTCGATGACAATAAAGAGATTATAGAAAATACAACAAAAGATATTAAACAAGGTACGTACTACTTTAAGAATTGAATTTCATTAAATATTAAATTAATTACTGCGTATTTTTTTGTCATATTTAGGTATATTGTTAACGATCATTATTCAGGGTTAATTGCCTCGTTGGCCGAGTGGTCACAAGTGCGACTGCCGGGCAAGGGGGTCTCGGGATCGATTCCCAGGTCGAGAAAAGTACTACGGGGTTTTTAAAATATTCTCAGTAGTAGCATAGAATCTGGAATTTTGCCTGGTATATGGCAATAAGGTCACCCCCTATTACATGGGACTCATAACATAAATAATGAAAATTGGGTGTTACATTGTACAGTGGCATTAAGTGCTGTAATGTGCACCTCTGCCTACCCCTTCAGGGATAAAAGGCCTGATCTTATGTTATGTAATTATTCAAGGTTCTTAATTATTACGTCACACTTTTTTATCCCCGAAGGGTTAAGCAGAGGTTAATTTCAGTAGTTATGTTATGAGTCCCAGTTCCATGTAAGTACTATTACTAGATATTTCCGAAAATCAGAAAAAAATATAATATTGTACAGTGAATTGAACAAGATCCCGTGTACACACATCAATCTATACAAAACCAGTTTATCCTGCTGTCGCGTCGCATCATCTTTCCGAACATTTAACGTTCAGTTTATACTGGTTATGTAAAGCTCGATGTATAGCCGTGTCATAGTATAAAGAACACAGTAGGTTATCTAAGGCCGCCCGCCGAGTTATTAGCCTACTCTTGCGTTGATCCCCAGGGTTGTCACTTTTACTTTTTGTTAATATTTTCGAACAAGCAGCACTTGATCTAAATGTATGAAATGAAAAGCATATTATGATTGAATATTTTATCAATTTATAAATTTAGTAAAAATTAAAAGCTTATAAAAAGATTATTAATTTCTTAAAATAAACTTTAGCTCTATACATAGTATTCAGAAAGTAAATTTGGGAATACATTTATATGGAAAAATGCGACTCGGCTACGCTCTTAACAAATCAGATAAACTGTGAAATAAACAATACAATACCACATTTTTTTATAATATTTAAGTATAGTAGGTAATTAAATAAAAAAATAAAATAAAATTTATTTTCAAACAAAATAGTCTAGAAATGTACAGTATTGCTTAAAGCTATATAAAGTTCACAATATAAGGTGCCTGAACTAGGACATCCTGTGTTTCAGGCGAGGTTAGGTAATAGTAATAGACATTGTTATATAATCACTAGTACTTAAATGCTTATAAGTTAAGGTAAATTATGACAATATTTAGTTATGCATACTGATATAAAGTAATACTTAAATTCTATGCTTAATATGTATATAAGAGTATGTATGTAGTATATAAATTAGAGATTAGGAGCTTACGTTAAGTATTATTTAGGAACTAATAATAACTTCTCTGTGTCTTCATAGGACATGTCTTGAAGGGCTTCCTTTAGAATTTTCTTACAGTTACGGATGCTATGGGGGTAAATCCATAAGGTTGCATTTAGTCTATTGTATAGGAGTGGTCCAAGAAATACAAAAAATTTGGTAATAAAAGCGTGCTTTGTACTTTTGGTTGGGCAAACAATATCTCTTCGCCTTTTTTTGGTTATCTCAGGATTGTATGGAAAAGCCGCATGCTGTTTTAGTACCGTGCTCATAATAAAAAGCTGGCGGACTGTTAGTACTTTACAAGAACTATATAGAAGGTTAGTAGGGTAAAGAAAAGATCGGCCAGTAGACACCTTGAGAATCGCTCTTTGGGCTCTTTCAGTGGAAAGTAGTAGAGTCTTATCCGTACCACCCCAAGAGGTAATACAGTAAGTCAATATTGATTGGCACAAGGAGAAATATACCTGTCTGATTATTTTTGGGTCAGCAATATAACGCAGCTTTTTGAACACAAATATGAGCTTACGCAATCTACTGTTTAAAACGCTCAGATGCCGTTTAAAAGAAAGAGTTTCATCTAATATTAAATAAATAATAAATAAATAAATAAAAAATCTTTATTTACTAAAAACAAGCGAGTTACAATATTTGATTTTAGGTATAGGCATACAATTACAGCTTACAATTTATGAAATCGCTGCCTCCCAAACTAGGTGATCCTGTATTTTGGGGGGCAGTGTTCCCTCGTTGAGTATTACAAAATTATGAATGCTTATATTGCTAATAATTCTCTCAAATATTGTGTAAGTGACATAAAGATATAAAAAGAGAAAAAGAAAGTGAGTGTTACCAAAAGAGATAATTAAAGATGATGTATGTGGGTGTGTGTGTTAGTGTATGTGAAGGTGTGTGTGAGAGTGTGTATGTATGTATATGTTTGCTATCTATGTACTAACTTTACGCGTGAGTATTTAATTATTTAGACTAGTTTGTTTAACAATTGTTCTGTTTCATCATAGGTTAGTGTCTGAAGCCAACATGTGATTTTCGATTTTGCTTGCCTGCGTGTTAAGGAATAGATGTGATTGATTTTGTGTGCTTTGTTATAAAGACGTGAGCTCATTACAGTATATTGACGGCCGGCTGAGGCCGTTCTGTGTGGAATTGGTTCACAAATTGGTTTGGTTTTTCTGTTTTTCTGGGACCATTTTGGATCATATGGCAGCGAACTATGTTTCCTCATGATGGTGCAGAGAACATAGAGCTGTCTCACCGTGAGTACTCGACATTCTTTATACAGTTCGTTGGTAGGATACCTAAAAGGCTTCGAGGCCATTACTCTGAGAACAGCCCTCTGTGCTCTCTCCAGATCCAAGACTGCGACTTTGCCCGCACCACCCCAGGCTGTCACACAGTAAGACAGGAGCGATTGGCATAATGAAAAGTAAATCAATTTGAGAGTATCTTCGTCTGTTGATGATCGAAGTTTTTTGAAAATGTAAATAAGCTTTCTTAACCGAGCTGTTAGTTTTTGAATATGTGTGTGCCACTTTAGCTGTGAATCTATTTCAACGCCTAGGTATTTAATATCTGTTGTTCTTTGGATAACTGCACAGTCACAATTTCCATTTTTAATGGTTGGGCTCTGCGTGCAAGTGTGTGCCGCGAGACAGTAAGTCAAGGGTGGCATTTGAGAGATTTTATTTGCAAAAGTGACGAATTTAGTTTTGTCTACGTTTAAAGTTAATAGACTGTCCTGCAACCAAAGCATCACAGTTCTTAAACTCGTCTCTGCGACTAATTTTGCTTCGGACCAATCTACACCTGATATTATTAAAGCAGTGTCATCCGCATAAGTAAATATTTCACAGTGTTCCATCTTTAGCCGGCACAAATTATTTACGTAAATCTGGAAGAGCGTTGGTCCTAAAATACTACCCTGCGGAACCCCAAACTGCAGTGTCTCCTCTCCACTTATGTAACTACCTATTTTAACTTGCTGGGTGCGACCCCTAAGGTAGTCCTTAAAAATTTCCAGGGCGATGCCTCTCACCCCCACTTCTTCTAGTCGCGATACAAGAATGGGGACTGAGACCGTGTCAAAAGCCTTAGATAAATCTAGAAATACGCCTATGCACTTTCTATTTTCATCAAGACTCCTTGAAACCGATTCGGTCAGTGCAATTAGTGCATCATCCGTTGATATATTCGCACGAAATCCAAATTGGTTACTTGCAATAATGTTATGTGATTGTAGAAACTTTACCAAACTGTTGTTAAGAATACGTTCAAGAATTTTGGATAGAGTTGTTAATACCGAGATAGGCCTGTAATTACCAACACAGTCCCTGTCCCCACTCTTATACACGGGAGTAACAACTGCTTTTTTGAGCGCAGCCGGAAAAGTACCGGAATTTATAGCAGAATTACAGATATGTGTGATGATTGGCACCAAGGTGGATCGTGACGATTTGAGAATTTTGGGTGGGATGGAGTCCCAGCCCACAGCACAGTCACTTTTTAGATTGTTTACAATATTTTCCACTTCACTTTCGGTAACTTCTAGCAAGACTAGGGAGTTAGGCACTACAGAGCCATTTCGCATTTCAAATTTAGGCTTATTTAGATTCCTACTTACAGATGTTATTTTAAGTGCCAGGTCACGACCAATGTTAGAGAAGAAAGAGTTCACTTGATTTACAGAGCTGTCAGCTTACACCCAAATATTTTAAATTACTACTCTGATTGATAAAAGGGCACATGCATTGGTCAGGAATGTTACAGTGATGGGCATACAAGGCTAATGTAGATACTGGGTTTTCCTTCCGAATAGCAAATTTGATGAAGTGTGTCTTATCTGTATTTAATGTTAGTGAGTTACACCGAAGCCAATTATTTACATTATTAAATCCGTGCTGCGCAAGTCTGTAGACCTCAGTTATCGAGTCAGCAGAAAAAAGTAGAGCGGTGTCGTCAGCGTATGACACGATTGTGCCGTGTTCCAGCTTAAGATTGCATAGGTCATTTATGTAAATTAGAAACAATGTAGACGATAATATGCTCCCCTGCGGGACACCGTAGGGGGTGTTTTTAACGTCATCGCTGAGTACTTTACCGATTCTTACACACTGACTGCGGTCTTCTAGATAACTTTGAAAGAATTTAAGCTGCATTCCTCTTATACCTATGATCTCCAGCTTATGCAACAACACAGGAATAGAAATTGTGTCAAAAGCCTTGGCCAAATCCAGGAAGACTCCCAAAGTATGTTTACCCTTATCAAGTTCTTGCGTTATGTAGTTAGTCACGTAGTGTACTGCGTCTGCTGTTGAAATTTTAGGTCTAAATCCATATTGGTGTTCTGATAGAATTGACCTGTCCTCCAGGTATTTAAGCAGTCTATTATTTACTAGCTTCTCTAATATTTTAGACATAGAAGGCAGTAGTGAGATAGGTCTATAGTTTGTTACTTGGGATTTACTGCCTGATTTATGTACTGGAACTATGACTGATTTTTTGAGACATGCCGGGAATATGCCGGAAGATAAACACAGTCGAAAAATATAAGTCAAAGGAGGAGTTAGAATATTTCTAAACTGCTTAATAATTTTACTAGAGAT